TCAACATATTACGCCAACACTCGGTAGAATTTATAGAATATTGTAAAAAAAAAAATATATATATATATATAAAATATTTGGCATTTATGTGTTATAAAAAGTTTTTCCTTGTGATGTTATCCATGGTAATAAGCCTGTGCTGCTAAGGGGTAATTAGCATATTATTTATATGTTTCATATGGTTATTGACTCAGCGCCCCTCGACGACGTTAAATCAAGCACCTCCTCTATTATTTTTCTTTTTATTGATATACTCTGCAAAACCTTTGTTATGTTGTACGACACAGCTATTTTTTTATAATAACACAATGTCTAGTTACCGTTGCGAGTAGTTAAATATACGTAAAATAAATGTGTATAAACCATGACTAAGATATAAGCACGACGTTTTGCACTGTAATATTCAGTGGCTAGGTATTGTTACGAAAAAAAAAAAATTTGTGAATGTCACGTGACATCATTCGACTTGTTGGCCATTGGCTGCCTGCTTCTCGTACCATTACACACCAACTCCCTGCTCGTCTGGTTCGTTTACGTTAAGAATTTGTGACGTTTGGTTTCTATTTAATATTTTCTGATGATTGCTGATTTAAATCTGCTCATTATTACAATTAAATAATTCATGTTTTTTGTGATGGCTAATTTTCGCGCATGATCCATTTTTTAATTTTATTTCAAAGAAAAATGAACGAAACTGTAATTGTTGAAATAATGAAATTGAAATGTTTTAAAAAATCTATTATGTTCTGTTCACCCTGTTCATGATTGTTCTCATCTTTGGTATTAAAATTAAGCTATTAATTTATTTGATGGTAACGTTTTTTACAAATTTTATCCAATTCTTATGAAAATCATTTTTAATGAATTTCATATTATGATTTAATTAATGATGTCAAATCAAATTATCCTATTTAGTAGTCATTAGAGAGACTATGAGTTTATTTAAGACTAATTTTTATAGTCACTAATACTAATAATAACTATTAGTCTAATTTCTATTCTAACAAGCCATAATGAATTTCTATTCTAATAAACCATAATGGCTAGGTCATTATAATATATGATTATTTTTCTATTAGTTTTTTTTAACATCAGGACTTAATTAATTAAATTAATTAATTAATATTAAAAATTAAATTAATAGCAGAATTAAAGAATTGCAATTAGAACTGATATCAAGTTAATTGAAAATTAGAAAAAAGTTTAAAAAATAATCATGTTTTAAGTTAGTAATTAGTTATAAAAAAGTTTTTAAAAGTGTTTTGGATATGGATTCTGAGGACATTTCATGGTTGTTAGATGGTGCTTCATCAGCTGAACTGGGTTACCAGATAGATGGACTGAATGAAATTAAAGGTAGTCTAATAAGAAATCAAATAACTTTCATTCTTAAAAAAATATTTTTAAAGATAATACTTCATTTGCAGAATTATTTCTAGTTTTTTAAAATAGTGAAGGTTAAATAGTAAATTTTTATTCTACTTTCAGATTTATTTTCATTTGTGAATGATGATGTTCAGTTATTTGAGGCAGCTCAAGAAATTTGTAATGACACAAAAACAAGTCAGGTTCTGTTTCAACCACCACTGAATAACAACGTGAATTTAGGTGCAGTTAACGGCAGCCATATGCACAATATTCATTTTGAGAGTGAATCAACTAATACATCGCAGCAGCAGTGTTTGCCTCAGGACAACTTCAACACAAATGAAAATATTTCATCACAACAACAAAAAATAATTAAAGAGCTGATACCAAAAATTCAAAATGATTCCTCATCAGCCCAATTAATATTACAATTACTCAATTTAGCAAATTTGGAAAATCAACGAAAATCTGAAAGTTCTCAATTAACATCAGCACCACAAAATAGTTTTATAGAGCAGCAACAACCACAACAACACTTTGCGCCATGTACAAATTATGAAAACACATTTGAGACGCAGCATGGCATTGGTATAAATGGTTTAACCAGCTGTGGACCAACAACTGCTTGCCAAGCTCCAACACAAAGTCAGTACTCACAGCAAACATTAATCATTGAACCGCATCACACTTTTCTTCTCAGGAACAACAACGACTGCATCCCAGCTCAACATATGTCACTGCAAAAGAATGCAATAAACAGTTCATTATATGCACAAAGTAATGTTTTGGTAAGTATTGAATCACTGTTGCTGTCTTCTTGTTACTTCCAAATGTTACATGTTGCTAATAATTTATACTTGAAACTATTCATTTTCATCTCAGTAAGTTTCACTTTGCTAAAGATTTTTTTACTCAAAATACTTTATTTACATAATCTCAATGATATCAAATTGTTTGACATCACAGAATTGCTTATCATATCCGGCAATAAGAACTTCAACTACAATCTCCCATCATAAAATTAATTTGTCTTATCTATTTTCATCTTACCATATTGTCATTCATATTATCCAGATTATTATATTGTCATTTTGCATTTTGACTGTCAGAGTCTGAGTTTTTAAAGAATTGAAAAATTTAAATTCCATTCTAACTTCTTTAACAATGATGTATAAAGTTGGGTATAGCACAAAAAACAAGAACGTCCTAATATTTATTTTATTTTGATTTTTGATTGATTAAGTTTTCACTTGATGACCTTTAGTCTGCAGAGCAGTTGATAGGAGGACAAGTAGCCCAACAACAACCAGCCATACAACTGCAATTTGTTCATAATGACCAACAACAATTTATCCTTCAACAGTCACAACAACAACAACAGCATCAGTTGTTTACTACTAATCAACCAATACAAACACATACCATGAGACCGAACATTGTGGTGCAGCCAGTGCAGCAGCAGCAACAACCACTTCAACAACATCAGCAGCATCAACTTCCCATAATGCCACTTCAACCGCAACATATCAAAACCTCTCATCCACAATTAATTATCAATGGTTCTTTTGCTGGCCAACAAAACCAATTAGAGCAAACTTTTGTAAAAATTGAGAATTATCCTAATGTTAGTAATAAAATGTTTTGATGTTATTTAATTCAATTCTGAATGGTGAGTGGGATTTAATGTCATGTTATGCCATGTTGGTGATCCGTATCATTATTATTTATTATCAGTTTATCAGTTTTGGTGTCAGGTTTCAGCTATATGTATGTAAATCAGTTCCTGATACATGTTTAATTGTTTTAACCTAGTCTCATTATTTCTTTCTCTGCACTTTATGTAACATAATCTTATTTGTAGGAGATTATTTGAATTGTCTTATTAGACCAATTTTGTTGGCATAAACAGAGATTTTTTGGAACTACCTAAGGAGAAAGCAATGATCGTGCAGAGTAGAAAAAAATTTGCTTTTCACTGGACACATTAAATCTTGTGACACAGTCTCAAGATTTGGTGCTCTCACTATCCAACTGTTTAGGATCATTTGCTTATTGATCTAAATTTTAAGAAATTTCACTTTTAAATATCATTTGTCTGAATATTGAGACATTCATAATTATTTTGATGTGTATGTTAAATTCTGGTTATCTTCCTAAATATTTAATAGACATTTTAACCAAACCAAATCATTCAGGTTTAAAAAAAATTTTATCTAATTCTCATTATTTTATAATGTTGATTGAACACTTTTTGACTAAGTCCACTTCTAGTTTTTTTGGTTCTTATCTTTGGAATCTTCTTTCATCTTCTCTTATCACATTTCAATCTTTCACAGGTTCTAGGATGGGTCTCAAGTTGCACTTATTCAGTTTTTTTATAATAAACAATTTTTCTGAAAGAGGTGCAAGAAAGTTGGATAAAAAAGTCATTGGATAGTCATCAACATTTGACTTTACTATTTATATTAGCAGAAAAGTATTAGTAGCTGGTTGACAATTTGTTTTTTGTAGGGTAGTTTATTGGAAGGACTGTTAGTTTGTAAGTTAGGTTTGATTTAGAGTTGAAAACATTTAGTGGATGAAGCCATATTTTAGAAGGTATAATAAGTTGAAAGGATTGGTTGATTACTACATGATGCGATTGGATAACCAACTTTCATTTTTGTTTACAGACTGTTAGCAGCGTCCAACCGATGATGACATCATTCAACAACATCATCACCATGACGTCACCAACAAATGGGTCAGCTGGCACTGTACAAATTGTTCCAATGAATAATTTGGATGAACATCCTTGTCCAGTTGTGCTGGATGGTCACAACAGCAACATCAACAACAACATTATCAACAACAAAATCAACAACAACATCAGTAACATCAAAAACAACTTTAGTAGCATCAACAACAACATCATCAACAACCAAAACAACAAGATTCATCAACCACTCAATACCAGTAACAGCAATGTTGAAAAGGTTTGATGTGAGATTTTCATTCATGTTGTTAATGCTGTTTCATTAATTTTAATACTATCATTGTCAGGATTTGTCTGAAATATTTTTGAAATCTTACCAATTTAATAAATAAACATGTGCAACCAGAGGACAGTTTATGAATATTTTTTAACAGTTCCAAGTAACAAGCAAAATAAAAACAACTCTTTATGACAATACTGAACGAAATTTGCTGGAATGTTAACTCTTCAAGAAACTCTGGTTGACGATGTAGTTGTTGTTGTAACATATTAACTGAAACCACTGGTTGACGATGGAGTTGTTGTAACGTTGTTACCACCAACGCACCACCGACTGTTGACTGAAAGCAACCACCAATGTAATTACCTCGTTCTTATTACATTGGCCCAACAGCGGCCTCCATTACCAACCACCGACATTAACTTTTATAAATAACAAATGTACTTACAACTAACAATATCAACTGTTCTTGTAACTGCAGTATAATAATCAGCTGTTCTATCAAGCCAGTGCATGCAATGCGTCGTTACCAAATACACTTTAATCATGCAGCGCTTCACTCTTTTTGAAGTGCTGAACAAGCGAACTCTGACAATCATCATCATTGTTATAAAATTTATCACAACCACCTATGCACAATAAATAAAAAATAATGCGCACATCCTTCTTCATGGGATGTTGGGCAGTGTTACGTTGGCTTTGATGGATTGTCAAGTTTTCATTCTATTAAACATTTTGAAAAATCTGCAACCATCTGCTTGGTTTTATGGCCGGAAAATCTACAAACAATGCACCTAAAATCATCTGGCAACTACTTGAGTTGTCACACGTGTTTGTAGATGTTGAAAAAGCTTTTCATGCAGAATATCTTGCTGATAAATTGTGCACGTCAAAGACACTGCTTGTGATGGTTCAGTCACATCAGAAACAACAATGGTGCTATACGTTCTGTCGCAGATCTCAAAGTACCTGGCAACTGCTCCAGAGGCTGTCCAAAAAAGACCTGAGTGGGCACAAACAATCTTGCAAAATCTAAATGCATGGTACCTGGTCTAGTGCTAAAAAGTGACAATGAAGAAGCAAAGTTCTCCTCCCAAATTTGGAAAATAGAAGATGAACAAATATTGATTGATTGATTGATTGATTGATTGATTGATTAATTGATTAATTGATTAATTGATTAATTGATTAATTGATTGATTGATCAACATTAGGAAATAATGTCAAGGAATGTTTTCACAATGATTTACTGCTTTCATCTCTATATTATCAATAATAACAAAACTACCCAACAACTACTTACCACTGAACAGATCAACAACAACATAAATAACTCGATACTATATAACTCAACAACAAATAACATGAATAACACACCAGACAATGAACAACATTACACGAACTGAACAACACTACACAAGCCACATGCGTCACAACACCCACCAAACAGGCAACACTAGCCACAAAACAGTCATACAACAAAAAATCACAAACACCAACAACACACAGTTGCCGATAGCAAGACTGGCGAACAGCAAGAAATACGGCGGACCAGTGAGGAAGAAGACAACTCACAATGCCATTGAGAAAAGGTATCGACTGAGCATCAATGATCGACTGCTCGAGCTGAAGGAAGTTCTTGTCGGCAAGGAAACAAAGGTGTGCTACATTCTTTCTATCCAATCTGCTTGTTCGTTGGCTGCTGGGATCAGTTTGTGTTGTCACCTGATTGGTTGATTGTTTTTTTTATATTGATAGACTTCTTTTTAAACGTTTGATGTTTAGTGTTTTGTAATTTTGTTTGGTCGTTCAGGCTTTAGCTATTTTATTAGTGTGACGTACCTAATGAACCGACCATACATTGCATATCGACTGTTTCTTTTAATGATTAACAGAATGATGTAGTGACTCGTGATTGTATAATAATTATCACATTTTGATGATGACCTGATTTACGAAAACGTTGAATGAAGTTGAACAAGTCATCCATCTTGAGGAAGGCCATTGAGTACATAAGGTACCTGCAAAACCTGAACAACAAGCTGAAGGAGGAGGTCAAGATGCTCAAGATGACAACATGTCAGTTCTGTTGTGTGTGTGTGTGGTGTGTGTGTGTGTGTGTGTGTGTGTGTGTGTGTGTGTGTCATCATCTTATATATCATCTTTGTAATGTTGTGTTATGCCATGTCGTTGTCGACGGTGGTTTGATGTTGATGTTATGCTGTTGTTGGTTTAATGGTATGAATTGATTGACAGCCACCTCTCCAGCCAATGTTTCCATGCTGACCCCACCGCAATCCAATGATGATGATTGTTCAACTGCTTCAGGTTTGTTGTATGGTGTTTGTTGTATGTTTGTTGCGTGTTGTTCATTTGTTGTATGTTGTTGTATGTTGTTCATTCGTTGTATGTTGTTGTATATTGTTCATTTTTTGTATGTTGTTCACTTGTTGTATGTTGTTCATTTGTTACGCGTTGTTTATTTTTTGTATGCTCTTGTATTTTTTTTTCATTTGTTGCACCGTATTCATTTGTTGTATGTGGTTTATTTTTGCTCTTTATCCTGCGTTGCTCGGCCAAGACTTACAGTTTCAGTAATGTTGGGGTTTTTTAAACCAGTGAATTTTCTTAAAAAAAATAATTTTATGAAATAATTTCACAATGGAATGATAAATGAATGAGTGAATGAATGAATGAATGGATAAATGAATGAACGAACGAACGGAGAGAGGAATAATTGAATGGTTAATTAATTGATTGATTGAATGAATGATCAAACGCTGAAGTTTTGTGAAGATTGGATTAAATTTTATTGATCAGATGTTGAATAGTGGTGATTATTTTTTTGAAGGGGCTGAAGACTTTTTGCCATCGAGTCCTAAGCTGAACAGTGACAGTTTACAAGGTTTCTTTTGTTATTATTACCTATTTGCATTAAACACTTTTGAGGAGAATCAAACATAACATTGGAAGGTATAACGAAAGACGTATTATGGTTTTATGGATCACGTGAGTTGTTGTGCCAGCTTATTAGAAGCATTTGATCTTACAACGGAAACGTTTCATCTAATAAGCAGAAGCAGTTGATCTTATAGCAGATGCATGAGATCTTAGAGCAGAAGCATTAGTTCATATAGCAGAAGCAGTTGATCTTACAGCAGAAGCATGAGATCTTATAGCAGAAGCAGTTGATCTAATAACTAAAATGGCTTATCTTGAAAAGTATGCAATTTGGATTCGAAATCAGATCCGTACAAATCCATCACTTAGATTTGGATCCAGAACCACGGATCTTGATTTCTATGATCCATTCCATTCCTAGCCTAGTTACAGTCAAACAGCTACCACAGCTAGGCTCAATGCACATTACATCATATATTATTATTATTATTATTATTATTAGCATATTATATTATTATTATTGTTTAATTGCTCTTGATGAATAATAACTTTTTTATTCAAACTTCAAGCGTGCGTATTACAACATTTTCACGCAAAAGCCGACTTGCTCGTTCATAGAACACACCTATCCATGGGTGGTGGCCGCAGTTAACTAATTACTAGCAATATCTTAACTTAACTTGGTTCATATTCACAAGCGCTGCCTTATTCTCACGAGCTTTAGATTCTATTTATTTATTTGGCATTTGCTTGTTTGTTTGAATTGTTATTTAGTAATTAATTGATTGCACTAATGAAAATAATCACATGTTCTTTTAATTACGATTGGTGCACCTTCCTTTCCTGTTCAGATTCCTTCATGTTGGACAGTTCCGACTTTGGAAATTTGTTGCCGGTGGTGGCCGATCGACCGAGGGCCTTCCTCTGCTGCCTCATGATCATCATGTTTGTTGTTAACCCACTGGGACTGCTCACCGGCAGGACCTCGCTGATCAGTGATGGCCTAGGTGTCGGTGCAATCGATGCTGGGAGGGATGGCTCACAAATTATTCATCAGAACTATCGAGTGCTGCATGGCTTCGATGAAGGTGAACTCACTCATTCGTTTAATCAACCATTTCTTGTCTGCTCTTTCGCAATTTATCTGCTATTAATTAATTGCCACCTTTATAATTTTCATTTTTTTGCACCAAATAATTTCACTGAACTGTCAGCTGGAGAGGTTCTTTGTATGATCATTTGAAACAGGAAAAATTATTTACTATACCATGAAAATAAAAATATAGGCACAAATTAACAAAGTAACACAAAAGAAAGTTCAAATCGTTCTTTTCTACATTAAAAGAAGAAAATAGGTAGAAAATGTTAGACAGTTCATGTATAGTTATTAAAATAGATGAATTTTTTGTTAGAAAGATCATAAAAAAAGTAGGATGTCTCATCTCAGGTTTGAATATGAAAATGATTGTTCTGATGGCGAACTGAAACTTTATAGTTCGGTGGCTGACTGTCAACAGTAACTTACTTAACAAAGCATAACATAATAGGCGCCAATGACTGTTCAAGTTGCCCATATTCCACAATATGGGCAACTTGAAATTTACAGTCTTGAAATTTAAAATTAGCGTCAATTTTATTATTGTAATAAAATTATAGATGCCCCGAATAGTGAATTTGGTCGAATGGCCGAATAGCTGATGCACTATTCGACCGAAGTAAAAGGCCAAATACCAAAAAACTGCAATTTTGAAGAAAACTTTATTATTTCTGAATAGAAATAAGTTATTGAAGAAAACAATAGGCGAATCGTGTTTATCCACCAATTCTTCATCGAGATTGTGTTCAATCTTTTGTTCAAATTCTGGTGTTTTAACAGCTATGATGGTCAAAACAAATTTTTCGCTAATAATTTTCAACAATTATTACCCTGAAATTCTAAAAGTGATGATTTATACGAAACTTGCAATCGGCCGAGTTTTCGACCAGGCCGAACATTCAGTGCATCTCCTAAGTGAAAATCCGTTGCCAGCCATAAACTGATCTATTGTCATTGTCATAATTACAGAACGTTTGGTGGGAAGCAAGATGAGGTGGTTGAGTTCGTTTTGCGTGTGGATGTTCAATGCCATCTTCACTGTCCTCGTTGTGGCTCGACTGGCCATGTTCAGCGAACCAGTCACTCAGTCGACGTCGAAGTCCGCATCTGATTACTGGAGGAACAGGAGGCAGGCTGAGATCTGCATGGAGAGGGTTTGTTGTTGTTGCTGTTGTTGTTGTTGAGAGCCATGTTGTGGTTGTTTACATATTCATATTCAAATTAATTATGAAGTAATGAACTCTTTGGCACCAAGCACAATTTTCGGTGGCTTTAACAGAAAAAATCAAAGAAAGTTATGACTCGTGCGTATATATTTATTGAATTATATTTTATTCATCGAGTGTTTAATTATTAACTTTTCTTAATTTTATAAATTAATGTCTTATTTTGTTATTTTTTATTAATTTTGTCAGAATTTTTTTAGTTCCGATTTATAGGTATAAATGTTTTAAAATATCTAAGATATGAGCAAATATATATATAATATAAAAAATATACATAAAATGTATATAATACGATGATTGATGAGCAAATAAATGGATTCTTATCTACATTCATTTTACACTTGTTATGTTATTTTTTATTTGTTATTATTAAATACTGTTGTTGTTGGTACATTTAATTTGGAAGTTGATGGTGCACGTGTATGTACCCTCCTAATTTTGTTGATGTATTTTTTTATATGTCAAAGTTAGCACGGTTATCTAATGTTATTGACGTGTTTGTTTGGGACAGGAAGACTACCAGGAGGCTTACCGCAAATTGTTGGCCTGCTTGAAGTCACTGGAACGACCTTTGCCCACCTCATCCTTCAATCTCTTCCTCAGTCTGGCCTGGAACTCCATCCGCCAGATGCTGCACTTCCTTCCAGTTGGTCGCTGGTTGGAGTCGAAGGCGGGCGATGGCGTGTGGGGGAGGTACACACCTGTGCGAGATGTCAGGTGTTCGTACGCTGATGCTGCCTGGGTCTACCATTGCATGCTGAGGATGCATGTGCAAGGTTGGCGTCGGATCAGTTTTCGTTCATATTCTGTTGCATGGCTGGCTGTGCGAGGGTTAGGAAGTTTCGTTCATTGCTGTTGATGTTTTTGAACGTGAGTTATTGTTTTACGAGATTCAGCTACTCACATCTGTGGTGGTTATGATTGATATGATGGATGTAATTAAGATGACGTCATCATGGACAGTCAATCGAATTGAAATTAGTTAAATTGTGAAGTCGACTACTCCATAATATGGAATAAAAATAATAATGGTGCATCGGTTTATGTTAATGAAGACAATGATGTTATCCTTTTGATTGGTTTGATTGGCGATCAGGTCTGATGTGTCAGACGAAACTGCACGGCATCAACTTATCTCTGTGTGCATTGAACTTGGGAGAAGCGGCTGGCAGCATGTTCGACAAGCACCACCTCTCCGAACTCTACATCCTGGCGGCCCTCACCGCACATCATGTTCTCCCTTCCTTCTTCTTCCCATCTCTTATTGTTAGTTATTTGGTGATTGTACTTGTTATGTTTTGTTATGGTGGGTGGACATGCTTGAATTTTTGTTTTACCTTATCATTTATAGCATTTTCTGTTTTCATTCTTTGATTTCATTCAATTTTATTGTAACTATTAATTGGAAAATTAGTGTTAAGGATTGTCTGGTTCATTAAACATCGCCGCAGTTTTCATCCTCGTTAATGGTACTCCGATTTTGTTATAAATGTATTTATCTGCAGTGTTCAATTTCATTTCTGAACAACTCAAAGTCTCCTATAATTCAAAATGAAAAATTATTTCAAAGCACCATTTTTCAAAACTACTAAATGAAGTTGAATTCTAAAAAAGAAACATAGTTTTATACAACCATCATCAGATATGCAAAATTGCTTGCAGAATTTAATGAAATTTATATAAATGTATATATCTATTATAAATATCTTTAGCTCGCTTGTTGCATCTTAAAATGGCAAGATCTGAGAGCCAATCAAAAATAATTATATTGAACTGAACTAAATTGACAGCCACTGAGAAAAATGTTTGAAATTGTTGACCGTAAATTACAACCAATGAGAGAATAATAACTTGAACCATACTAAATCGAGAAAACATTAAAGATTTCTGGGAAACTATATATAGAGTTTACCTACTACTCATAAAAATAATAATTAGTAAATGGAATGCAATAAAGAGTGATATACAATGCATTCGTCAGAGGTTTCTGATGAAGCGAGCTCTGGATCGGCACGAGACATCACCACATTTATCTTGGATCAATACCGAACAAGGAGTGAATTTCCTCTTTCATTCCTCCTACCATCCCTCGTTCAACATTTCTCCGATGTTCACAGCTGAATCCAATGACAAATGTATGTATTGTTTGGATCATTCCTGTTGGTTTTTCTTCTCACACTACATACTAGTCTAGCCTTACGTCATATTCTAACAAATACAAATTCATACAATTTATAGAAATTTTTTTCTTCGTTTTTTCACCTTCTGATGAAACAAATTGATAGCCTATCAGCCGATAAATATTCCAGTTTTCAAATATCATCCACTCAACTAGCTGACCCGCTGTCGATGATGGCTCGAATGTACAGGGAGCTGTTGCTGCTGGACATCACAAAATCAGTTGTCTTATCGTCGTCCCCCTCACGGTCTCCATCGTCATCACTTCAAAGTCTTCACGGAAAAACAAGCGAAAAGTTTGTTGTTCATCAGATTAACATTGGTTTGCTGTTGATAAATAGATAGATATATACATATTAAAAATTTAATTTAGATGTTTCTTCTGAAAAAAAAATTATAAAAACGCTGCTTTGAATGACTGTAGAGCTCAATTACATTGGGAAATACACTCCTATGAATGTCTGATAAAAATTAACATCATGTCGTTTGCAGTGTTTTATGGAGGTTAGAACATTTGATGGTGTGCTGTCAGGAGGCAGTTGAAGGTTGTTCTTGTCGATGTTGTTGTTGATGCTGTTGATGTTGTTATATGTTGTTATATGTTGTGCATTGTTTGATGGTACGTGATATGGCATGAGAGTTTGCACATCGTTGTTGGACGTCAAGTGATGCTTATTTTGGTTGGATGTTAGATGATATTTTTGTTTTTGCTGGATGTTAGGTGTTGTTTGTTTTGTTTGAAGTTGGACGATGTTCTTTTTTTGGTTGGATGATGTTGATGTTGGATGTTGTCTGTTCTGGTCGGATGTTGGATGATTTTGGTGTGGGATGTTGTTTGTTCTGGTCGGATGTTGGATGATTTTGGTGTGGGATGTTGTTTGTTCTGGTTGGATGTTGGATGGTTTTGGTGTGGGATGTTGTTTGTTCTGGTCGGATGTTGGATGATGATGTTCGTTTTGTTAAATGTGGAAATTTTTCGTTGAATTTAGCACAGCGATGTCAGTTTGTTTGTTTGTTTATTTGTTTGTTTGTTTGTTTGTTTGTTTGTTTGTTTGTTTGTTTGTTTGTTTGTTTGTTTGTTTGTTTGTTTGTTTGTTTGTTTGTTTGTTTGTTTGTTTGTTTGTTTGTTTGTTTGTTTGTTTGTTTGTTTGTTTGTTTGTTTGTTTGTTTGTTTGTTAGATCTTGCCTCTAGTAGGTTCTTGGGTAGTTTGTTTAAAGTTATATTTTTTTACTAATTTAATTTTGTGCTTGGGTTTTTTCGTTTTCATATGGCATGACAAAATATTTATTGATTATATATGCTTCTGCTGGTTCGCCGCCTCAGACGATCTCTATGGCTTAAATTTACTTTCGGTCTGGTAGTAAGAATTAAAAATCTGTTCTCTTGCAACTCTCACGTTCAAACTTATTCATTAAGCAGGAAGCCCCGGCTCAAAATCACGAAGACACGACGATGTGTGCTTGTGGTGGTGCGTCACACTCAAACGCATTCTCTTACAACAACAGCAGCAGCAACAACAGCAAGCGACACATAATGTCTTCAACATCAGCAACATCGAATCGCCTGAAACATTTGTTGATATCGTGCCTCAACAACTGCAAAATGTCGAGTAAGTGCCGCGAATGTATTTCAGCTGTGCTTTGTTTGTCAATTTTTAACATTTAAATTTTTTGGCTAAATTTTTTCTTTCATTGACTGATTCAACAAACAAATTGATGCTTAATTTTTAGTTAGTATTGATGATGGCGTTGCACTTGTTGGGATGGTCAGACATTTTGAACGACGAACTTGTTTTTTAAATTTAAATCAGTGGATAGAAGTTGCAAAAAATTATTAAACGGTGTGCAGCAAACGATTTATTAGAGAAATAAAGAGAGAGCTTGATGGAGGGAGGGATGAAGGAAGGGCCCAACTGGTGACGCTTAAGAGGATGAATGAGAATAACAAACATGGATGAATATGTAGACAAGGTCGAAGAACTGGAAGATCAACACTCATCCAATCAAATGATGTGTAAGCTATGTAGTCGAACTTTGGAGGACCCTTCGAGGATTAAGTAATTCCTGTGCCGGGAATGTAGACAAAGCATATCGTTGTATATTTAAAATGTAGGTTCTTCCATCTACCTGAAGAATGTCTTGGATGAAGCTGGAGCGTGTGGAAGAGTGGTGAATGCCGCTTGGAAGGATTAATTTTTGTCGCTGACTTTATCCACAGAACAAAAACTTCCAACTAATTGACATACGAGTATTGATTGAGTTAACCGAGCAATGGGTGCTGTCAAAATTTTTCAGCATGAACAAGATATCATGAAATTTGCGTGGTTTGAATGTTACGTTGATTCCTTATTGTCGTTGCACACGGCCTGATGAGAACTTGACGTCTTCATTCAGGAATCCACTAGCCAGATGTTTGTATGGCTTGAGGAAGATGATGCAGAGGATGTATGTGGACGAAAGTTCTGACAGCTCACAAGCGGAGTCGTTCATGATGTTGAAGTTGTGCAACAAGGCAAGCAGCACGCTGGCGTGCAGTGCCACACATCGAGAACAACATCAACAACACCAACTGCTCGCCCAGGTTCTGCTTCATTCTCTCCTGTTTGTTTCTTTCCCTGTAATCAGTCATGTCATTAATAAATGTGGAATTGTTCGTAATCAACGGCGGATTTCGATAGCTTAATGGAACGTGCATAATATGCTAATTACCCCTTAAAACAAAGTTCTAATGCATTGTTATTTCAGAAGTGTCATTGTTTCTTATTTAATTTCTATATGTAGAAAAAAATAAATATCTTATTTAAAATTAAACAGTTGTTTTGAAAAGTGTTGGTTTTTGTTGCCTTAACATGGTCAAAATGTTTCATTGTTCTTGTTTCATGGCTACTGTTGATATTTTTCAACAAGTAAACTTGGCATGACACTTATAATCGGTCACCGCCTATTGTTACTATTTCACATTTTATTGCCAATTTGATGTTTACTTAAATACGACGCCATACTTTGAAATAATTGCTTAATAAATTCATTATACATATTCATACCTCTTTGTTTGTAATATACAAAACTATCAGCTGTGGCACTTGCAAGCATGTGATTGGCTGCTGAGCGTTCGAACAGACCTCTGGAGGAAAAGAAAGAACATTTCATATATGCGTGCCCAACGCGATGATCATCACGACGATGATGACGACAGTGATGAAAATGATGAGCATCATGGTGCGATGCAAAATCATTTGGAGCAAGTTTCAGTGGAGCTGTCCGGCATGGAGAAGCATGCATTCAACAGGGTATCCAACTTGGAGCTGACCTGCTTCCACGCTGACGTCATTCTTTTCAGAAAGCTGTGTCAGATCAGTTGCGTGGGGAGTACACACAACACCAAGATTACGTCCAGGGTTAGTCTTATATATACGATGCTAATGATGGTGTCTGGATGATGGCATTGAGAATAAT